TATTTATTAGCATTTTCCCTCATCTTCCCAGACATTTTCCAAGGCCCTCTGCTCTCTCTTGCTTCTGCAGCCCTGTGTTGTTAACAGGTGGAGCTCTTGCATGCATATCACACACACAGCCCCTCCCCTCCACCTGTGAACAAACCTCCACAGTGGTTTGACTGAATTGTCTCAGATTCTGTATACACTCAGTAAATCCTAATATGGATACTTACTGTATGCCAGTGCAGTGTCTGTGTAAGTATCACAACAACAACACAATAGCAGGTGATCAGCCTGTTGCAACACTGTCTCAGAGCTTGTTTCGCTCGTTTTGTATTCAAGCTGTATCACGACTTACATTGCCGTGGTGACGCAACACAGTCACAGGCTCAGCTGACCAGATGTCACCCAGATGTTCGATAGGTTAGCTCTCCTTTAACAACGTAACAGGTAATATTGGATAAAGGATTTGTCTGACATCTGCTTTCATCTGCAAGAGCGTGCAAATACACACATGAAAACTGTGACCAAGGCTCTATATTGGCCTTCTGTGGTCTGATTAGTTTAGCAATCAGAGTTCCTTGTGGTGTTTGGTCAGTAAACACAAAATAACCACAGAGTTTTACTTTTTAATCACCAGTGGAAGTGTTTCACTGTTTAATATAGAGGATGATATATTAAAAAAACACCCCTATCTACAGCCAGTGTTTGGTTTGTCCCTTCTGGGCTACTGTAGAAACATGGCGGACTCCACGGAAGGCGACCTGTGGCGACTGTAGATAAAATACTTCGGTAACAAAAACACAACGATTATTACATTCAAGTGATTTTACAATAATGAAAACATATTAATCCAAATTATATTCCACGTCTGCCAATAGAGACTCTTTTAGACCTTTAGGTATTTACTTTTTTGACCAACTGTTTGTTGCTCGTATTAAATATATAACAATTTCATCATATCAGATCAGTATTTGATGAGTCTCTGAGTCTAATTTATATTCTGCCCATCTGTTAGACACCTGTTTGTTGTAGCTCGTATCTGCACCACTAGACTGTTCTGCTTATCGTTACCGTCGTATGAACGTTTTGCATGTTTCTTGGAATTTGAAGGGTTGTTTTAACCTACTTTTATTTAAGACAATAATTGCCTGCACAGGGCTATTAAGGTGATACCATGAGGAATAACCACACCATAAATTACTGTAATTTACCGCAGATGCACTAATAGCTCCTGAAGGAATATGACTGCTATTCTTCATTAAGGAAACTGTTAAAACAAAATGAAAAATAGTGAACTGATTTCAAAATGATCCCCCATTAAAACAGTACATGCAGTTAGCATCACGATTATACTTTTCATGATGGGGAATAACATTACAATATATTTTAATGCAATACAACAATATCACAATCAATGCACGTAAAAGCGTACTATACCACTGTAGACTCACCTGACACAGTCTACACCTACAACCAACGATTACTGTCATTGTTGATTAATCTGTAGATCATTTTCTCAATTAATCGATTGGTTGTTTGTCTATAAAATGTCAGAAAATTGTTAAAAATGTTTATCACTGATTCTTAAAGTCCCCAAATGTCCTGTTGTGTCCACAACCCAAAGATATTCAGTTTACTGTCATATGAGTAAAGAAACCAGAAAATATTTACATTTAAGCTGGAATCAGAGAATTTTTAGTTAGTTAGTTTTAATCGTTTGCAATTGATTTAAAAGTTGACAACTAATCGTTTTACATTCGAATATACAATTGTTTATCTACAGCGAAGTGTATTTATGTACAAACAAAATATTTCATCTCTCAAATGCTGATTCTGATCGTGACTGTGAGTCGGACTTGGACCACGAGAGTTGCCTGACTTGAATCAGAATAAAACCTGGAAGCCATCACTGGAAGAGCGCCAGAGGGTGCTGGTGGTGCAGTTGCACCCGAGACCAGGGCCCCTAGGGGCCCACACAAGCCCTCTACAGCTGTGCACATCAGATTGTGTATGTGTCTGTGTGTTTGGATGCAGAAAGGGTGTGTCAGTGTTTTGCACCCTGCTCTGCCATGTTGTGCCAGTGAAACCTACATTTAATATTGCTGTGTATGCAGCACCCAAAGGGCTAAGCTGTGGTAACTCTTTTGTGGGAGAACTGCCCAAAGGTAATAAATGCAAATTAATTGTGAGGTATACCTCGAAGGCAAATAAAAATCATTGGTCACTGATTAAAACACATCAGTATCAGTTGAACCAGGGAAGATTCCCAGACATTAGCCGACAGACTCTCAACCCTGAAGGAAGAATCTTGCCTTTGACTCCCCAGTCCTGATACAGTATGATGTCAGAGACAGTATTAGTGTTACACTAGCCTGTATGTTATAATTAAAACTCAAACTGAGCCTGACATATAGCCGGCTCTAGAGCCAACCTTCTTTTCTACAGTCCTGCCAAGTGTGAGAAACCTTTTTCCTTCCTTCCCTCAAGGACTGAAATCCACTCATTTTCCATCTAA